ATTCCTGAGTTTCTTATAGATGTAATTAAACTTTGCAGAAGTTTGAACAGTGGCATTAAAAATATCTATGAAATCGCTAATAATATTCATATATTCACGAACGATCTAAGACGTCGATGCCATTTCAAACGCCATTTAAAGGAAAATGTGTGTAAAAACGAAAGAATTTTACTGCATTAGGGTCGTTTTATTTTATGGTTAATATCGAAATTTTGATGCCGTTGTTAATCGGATAAGAAACAAAAATAGATCAAGGGAATAAATGGAAGGCTGTAGAAGCAGCTGTAGAAACTCAGCGGCAAATAAACTCGAATGGATCACCACTAGCTAGACCGGCTGTTATTAGCGAATATGCAGAAGAGATAATTGGACCCTCAGGGAACGCCTAGCGGAATTTTAACATTCGTATGAAACCAGCTTTAACGAAATCTGCGTTTACGCATCAGCAATCACTGACGGCATGGCGCATGAGGAGAAACGTTAGATAGATAAATCTTCCATACGGTATTACGGGATCGCAGACTAATGCGTTGGGGATATTTATGCCAGTGTCTGAAGAAACTGAGTACTGCTGCGAGTAAGAGCTCGTGTTACCGCAGAAAACGAAACGAAAGAATGAGGCTTCGTTTCGAAAAGCATTGGACGCTTTGATTACTTTAATGTACAAGGTGATAAGGCCAGGCTTTATGTTGCGAGTTGGGACTGCTACCGTGTTATTACTTATGGCGCGACTTATATGGCTATGATTCTATATCTGAACTTAATGGTGGCGAATAACTGTAACTATACACAACTATGTAGTGTTGTATTTATTCGTTTTCATGTTTAACCTATTCACTGCCAGCTTTTGGAACGTTTTATTGTAGACGCCATTGTTGAATACTGATGTACAGTCTAAGTTATTATCTTGATAATAAAAAGTCATATTAAATTAGTTGTTTTTTTAAAAAGGCATTTCTGTATAAAACTTTTGTCAATCTTTTTTAATATCTAACTCAAACTATAAACGTATGTCCTAAACGGTCACAAAATATGTATTTATTTTACAACGAACAAATAAACATTTACCCTACTATAACTACTCGATGAAGTAAGCGTTGGGAATAAATCGTTGTTGAATGATTTCACTCGTCACCTGTTACTCGAATAAAATGTTGCCCATCTTTGTTGCTGTTGCCGCATCCTCAGGGCGCAAAAACTCAGCCTGACTTTCTCAACCGATCTCCGATAATTATGCAATGCCTTCGCCGCGGAGCATCGAGACGGCGTTAGCGCATGGCAGCACGCGAATCGATCGGGGCTAATATAATTATTTCTACCGTTACAGTTTATCAGGAGGCATCGAAACGCCGATTAGAATCGTACCCGCGCGCTGGCTGGTATCGGCTGCGGCGGATAACTGAGATTATTTACTGAACATGTCAGCAATGAAATCCCCGAGTAATACACCGCGCGACCTCCTCTCTCGCGAATCATTTCCCACAGTTTAAACCGCTATTGCGCTAACTAGCGATGCACTTCCCGCGTTTGACGTTTTTTTTTCTGGTTGCCAGCTTTCCCTTTCTCAGCTGACACATCGACCACTAGCGTGAAATTGCGCGAGGATTCGAGTAAACAACGATTTGGGCCATCGAGGAGTTTTTCACTTTGAAATTAGTTAATCTTTATTGCTTTATTTCGATATATGGTAAAACCCGTAACAAGGGTGTTGTGATTTATCACTACTCATGGGTATAACAGTCACAGCTCCTGCTTGCTGGTTGAACTCGTTAACATGATATTACGTTGATTAGATTGAAACGAGGCGAAAGATCCATCAAAAAAAGTCTATATTCTTGTAGTACAGATTCGCAAAGCATGCATTAGCCTAGATTTGTAACGACGAGGTTTGATCAACGAAAAATTACGAATATGCCTAACGAGGATGATCAAGCATACTTTACTAAGCAGGTATGGACTAGAACTTTGTTTGTTAAGAAGTTTGTTTAGAAACAAATTTTCTTTGTCTACAAGCTTAGAGTAACTTACATGAGTTACTAACAAGACAATTGACCATTTTCATCGATTAATCCTTTAAACTACGATTTAAGCTCCAACAGCCTGGGACCAAAATGTGATGATTATATTTGGCCCGAACAATACACCACGGGCCAGGCTCGTGATAATCAGTTCTGGTCCGAATATCCGACCCCAAGTCTCACACTTGGTTTTAGCTTAAGGGGTTTAAGGATTCAACTCGTGTTGACATTATAGACTCCATTACATCAGTCGCTACTAACCCTTTGCACTTGAGCGGCGCCGATACGGTGCCCGGCCGATTTGAACTGTCAACTCGAGCGGCGCTGCTGCGGCGCCCGAGTGATTTGAAGTCTTAAATGGTAACGTAAGCTTTTCTTGTGGGCATGGAAATTTCCCTGATTAATTCATACGTTTTGTATAAACTAGAAAAGACCAAAAAAGAGGAAAAGCCACTGAGCCATTTGCGATTTCTGAAAACACTTGTCGAACAATTGAGAAGATTATATCTCCAGCAACGATAGCAAGCGTCTACGTCGCATTCCGATGAAATCCGACTAAACGGGAAGCTTCACGTAATACTAAAAGAGCCAAAAAAGGGACTGCAAGGTTTGTTCTGACTGTAACACGCCTGGAAGTAGGCGGGAAATTTCGTACTACTGCGATACGTGTCCTGACAAACCTAGGATGCATCTTGGATATTGTTTTCCAAAATATCACACCAAAACTAATTACAGAGTGTAATATTTATCGAAGTTTGTTGTTTTCGACATATAAATGAATAAACTGGTGAAATTTTTTTATTTGTATACGTTTGTTTGTTTATAAATGTTTTTAAAGTACTTGTAAAGTGTTTGCCGAATGTGGCCGAAATCGTCTGGAGTTGCTGGTGCGCGCAAGCGAAAAAGGTCTCGAGTGCAAAGGGTTTAGACATGAGATCATCCTTATCAATTTAAAAATACAGCTCTTAGTGGTACTATAGTCTCTAATTCATCTCTGACTTTTAATTTTCAATCGGAAGTATTCCGTCTGCTGACATGGCACTAATTCCAATAACAACTCGTCATCACTCACAGCTGAATAGAATCTCCGTTTTTACATATTGTTTTCTCTGTCTGCAAGCTTAGAATTACATACATCAATCACTAGCAAGACATTTGATCATCTTCATTGATTTAAAAATCCAACTCTTATTTACAATACTTTTATGTTTAGTCACCAATTTTTCGCCTGCAAAATACAACTAATATAGTAGTAACTCAAGTAACAACTCATCAATTACTTTCCCTAAACTTTGCTGAAAGGAGAACGGTCTCCATTGCTTATCCCAGTATTTTCTTAATCAATCATCCTCACAATATAATCAATCCACTGTCAGGTTTTATATATTAAATGCACTGACTTTAAGTGAAATCCGGTTAGCTTTTGCTGCCAGTTGCAACACGATAATGATGAGCCTAGCTAATCTTCCATTCCTGCTGATTGTAATTCCGTATGTGTTTGTATCTGTGAACTTCATATTTTACTGTATATTCTAATTGATTTTTTTCTGTTAATGTAATTAACAGTTTATATGTATATTCTTACTTTGCAAATTCCCTATTCCTCCTATTTTATTCTTATCCTATACATAAATATATTACATTACGTTCTTTTATAATTATTTTCAAATTAAGCTAATAACACCGTATTGCTGTACCTCTACTTTGTGTCAAATATAATTATTTTTAATTCTGCGCATTAATTACTGTTCTTCTGGTTTACTAAATTCTTATTATTACTACTAGTACTTATCATCTAGACATTGACATAGACATAGTTGTTGACATTAGCTGTTAAATACAAAGAATTCTATATTTTTTAAATTGTACTTTTAACTATTTATCTTGGGAAAATGAAGTGTGGCTATCGAAGACTTTATGTCAGAATTGGAATAAACATGCAATTAATGGAACTGGGTTTTACGTCTCTCCAAGAAATCTTTCTTCCCTCCTTCGTTTAATAAAAACATATTTCTTTTTAAGTATTTAATAATCATAATCTTTCGGATGATATCTTATTTGGTTACAGCTTCACGCTCTTTTGAAAAAGATTCTTTGATAACTATAACTAAAAAATTTTGCAATTTTTTATCAAAATTGACACGGCTCCACTTTGTGCCCAACTACTGATTTTTTCGCTTTCTAACGGTTAATTTTTTTAATTACTAGATTGAAACATACTCGACGAATGATATTATTCCTGATAAATAAATGAAGTAAATACATATGAATTATTTAACTCCTGTGAATAATTCCGTAAGATCTCTTATTCTTTAATTTCATCTTTGCACATACATAAAAGTATAACTCATCGATATGTATTTAGTAGAAAAGACTCTATTCAAATATATGTACATATTCATTTAAAAAAGGAAATGAATTTTAAGTGGTAATACCTGAAATTCATGAAACAAAATCAAATGTACATGAGCAAATTACATATGAAAACACTTATGAAAAATAAAATATTAATATTACAATATTATTTTATAAAACATATCTTAAATGTAATTTGCACATACAATTTCTATATTACCATACACAACAAATGCATGGATTTGCACATAATTTGCCAACAACCTTTCTATCAAACGTCAGCCGATCGTTAAAGACCACAATGAGAAATTAATTCAACTCAAGAGCATTTACCCACCACTGATTAACTCAGCAGCGAAAAGGTTAAAAACGGTTCGATTTCATCGTAATCCCCAGATTTCTCCCGTTGCTCCCGCGCAGAGCTCGCCTTTACGCAATTTACGACGCCGAGGAGAAACGACCTTGCCGTTTAAGCACCCGACAATATAATCGAGTACGTATTACGTATCGCGGCAGGCTATATGATATTTTCTAACGGACCCCCCGGTGGCGCTTTCTGAGGATAAACAATAAGGCAATCTAACGGTAACCAGCAAATCCTGGAAAGTGTATTGTGAACTTTTGCAGGCGCAGGTGCCGCAGTTGGCAGGTGCGAGCCTGACCTAGCACAGCGGGGTGTCTCGAGACTCCAGAGGTGGAAAGAGAAATGGCAAATAAAAGGAACGAGGAGTCTGCCCCGAGCGTCGAGGAACAACCGTGCCCGGTAAGCAATCGTACGCCACAATATTGGAAGCTTTCACCCTCCAACAGAGCCAAGTAAGACAGTACCGCGATTGTAACACGCCATTTTTTCTCCGCAACCGATCCTGTTCGACGAATTAGAGCCAATTTACGGTGAACATCTTGTCCGTGGAAGACTAAACACCGGGTGTTTTGTAATTCGTGGTTAAGATGTAACTGGAATACAGTGAATTCTCTTTAAGAGACGCGAGGTTGAGTCTGAGGGATCTCACTTAAGGGTGCCCAGGAGTCAAAACAGAATTCCGAATTGACTTCAGCGACAGTTGCGGAAAAAATAGGAAACTCCGGGACAAGGACAGAGAGGGCGATACAACCATTGCAGGAGAGACGAGGACAGGGCGATTAGGCTAGCATGATTTTTTTCCAGGATATTGAAGCAAAGAAGCAATATTTTCTAATAATTCTGGTTTTAATATATTCGTTACACTTTGGCGGGCAGCAGAGCTCTGCGCAGAGCACCCAAACATATAGAAACAATTCATAGAACAAACGCAACGTATAGAAAAAACAACATTCTAGAAATGTATATCTCTCGAGAAATGCAAAAAAAGCACCTCATAACAAATTTCACAGTGTTGAACCCCTTAATCCATTGCAGACGGCGATTTTTTTCGAACGCGGTCCCCAAGACCGAAATTTCTTTTTCTTTATGTTGTCCATTTTTAATAAAACAAACTTGTTTACTATGGAAATCACCGATAGTGTGAGCAGCTCGCTCCTCAGAAAATTAGTATCGCGAGGAACTGGTTGAACACCATGTGTGCAATGTAAGGTAAAATCAATATACATTATTAAAATTGATAAACATTAATTTCGAAAATAGTTAGATAACATAAAATCGTTATTTTGCTTTCAATAATGAAGAACAGAAATATTAAAGAGTCAACAAAATAAGTTAAGTAGTGAAGAAAGTAATATAAACGAGAAATAAATTTGTAGAAAAATGTCTAAAGGTAATAAAGTAATGTAACTGGGTAATGAAAAAAAAAATAACTTATAAACGTAGTGTCGTAGACTTTTTCACGATCGTTTATATAGCCTTCTTGTATAAACTGACAACGTATTTCAACAGTGATAATAATAAAAATCCCACAGATTTAAATGTAGAGAAGAAACAAGCTAGACAATAGATCCTGCACGACCTATCCATCTGCTAGAAAATTGTTCGTTCAAGAACTGTCTGACTACTCAACTGAGATATTGCAATAAAGAAGAAATATAAAAAACCATACAGAAGAAACCACATACGAAGTGCACCTCTATACATGAATATATGCATATTTAAAACGTTAAATGAATAATTAATATACACTGTAAATTATTACTATAATTATTATATAAATATATTACCATATTTTTTGTTGCTAAACTCTGTATATTTAGTAACATTTAATGATAATGAATCGTATAACATTTAAGTTTTAAGTGGCATATTAAATCTCATACGGAAACCATGGGATCGTTTACATAGAAAAGTTTGAAAAAAATATCCAACATCTGGAAACCATTTATGACGAGATATTACAAAATAAATGGAATAGTGTTACTTCGCATACAATGAAGAAATTAATAATTAAAGTGCCCAGATTGGTGAAACGAGTTATTAGAGCGTACGTCCGACATATTAATGAAAAGAAAATTGAATTGTTTTTCATTAAACAATTATTTACGTCGTCTTACTGCATAGTCAATGTTAACTTCTTTTCGATGAAAAGAAATTGTAAATATAGTTGAAACATGAACATATTTCACAAACAATGAATATGTTCTCTAATTTTTGTTGCAAAAAGTTTTACAGTTTTCGATCAAATAAATCCCATAATTGAGGTAAAAAATTGCGTGTCACGCTAGAATACTCCCTTAAGACAGAATTGTGGATCCTCTGTCAGTTTAAACAAAAGATATCGATTATGCGCTCTCTCAGCTTACTTCACCCTACGTATCGAATCTACGAACATTCATTCAACTAATTCGTTCTGACTTGTGCAAAGATACTTCATTTCAACGTATTATTCATCGCTTCTTTGCTGATTCGTCATCTATTGCAATCCATACGCATGGATCATGTCATGCGCGAGGAAAACCCAGCCATCCGTGATCTAGAAAGTTTCCGAGGCATTGGGAGTTAAAATACCAGGTCACGTTTGCTAACGTAAAGTCGCTAATGAAATTCGAGATGAAGTTTAGAATTTCGTAATTGAATTACAGCGCAGAGAAAATAAAATAATCGTAAAACAATCGCAATAACCATCGCAGTGATTCCATTACGGCGCTATAATAACCGAACGGTGCAACTCACTCCAAACGAGATATAAGCCGCTGATTAATATTTACAGTCACATTATACGGATACGAATAGCTTTCGACGCAATATTTTCCTATCTTAAATCTTAAACATACTATTGAGTAAATTTATTGCGCCATTTGAATACTATAGAAAAGCTGTCATACTCAGGTGATTTATTTTATTAATTCATAACTCAGAATTCATAATTTATCAAAAACTGTCACAGCAGAAACTAACAAGGTTTAAACTTTCTATTTGTCGATACTTTTGATTAGGGGGTTAAAAATACCTCTAAGAGGTAATTCTCTGAGAAATATGTTATTTTTTTTCAAATCCTCCTTTAAAAAGTGGGTTGTCGAAATGTTATTGTAAATATTTTTTGGTATTTGACAAATGATACAACGTGGAAGCAACAATTGTTGTGTATAAAATAATACAATGTTTCAACAAATTCCCATTTCAAAATGTCTGAGTAACAAATTTCAAAGAAATTAAAAATTCTTGAAAAATAATCGGAAATACTATTCACGAATAACAAACCCAAGAACAAAACAGAATTATAAGAGTGCTATCTATACATAGAGTATGGTTTGAAGAAATTTCTATGCAAGTACTTCAAAAATTAGTATCATCAATGCCTAAAAGGTGCAATGATGTATCGAAAGCCTCTGGAGGAAGTCCAAATTATTAGTATATATTATTTATTGCTAGGAATTATATACCTCTAATTTCATTGTATTTATTTTGCACTTGATTAAATGCTATAAATCATTCTTATTATTCTAATTATTATTTAACATAGCATTGCGAGTCAAAACTGCTTAAATTGTTGTTTGCACGCTGTAGCACTTCTTCTTTCCTCCTACAAGAGAGATTTCACCCATCATTCAGAATCAACTGTAACGAAATCATTTGAAAGGATAAGAAATTAGGAGATTCAAGCAGTAATACATGTAGTTTTTATCGCAATAGTTTTAGATGAATTTTAAGAAAGGTACAGGAGTCTAAGGTTTTACAACTTTTCAATACTATTTCAATAATATAATACGTCTTTCCAGTACTGCATAATATACGTTCAATAAACAGTTAATAGTGCGCGTAAAATCATACACGGTTTTATTTGTTATCTCCTGGATATGTATCATTTACGATGATTTATTAACTGTTATTATTCACACAAAGAATATAATTTATTTCCTGTTAGTTTTATTTTAGTAAGAAGTAGATGCACGATGTCGGTTAAGAATATATGTATATAGAAGAACTGTGGCAGCTAAAGATCGGAGCGTGCTCGTCTAAATGGTCAGCGCCTTAATTACAACAGATAAACCATTAACTTTATTACGATCTTTAAGAGGCACTTAACCGCGCACGTGTGCTGGTGTAATATAAAATTAATTATTTTGTGTAAATTACAGTTATCTGCGAATGACATGTAGTTTCGCAATGGTATCTCCGAAGATCGTTTCGTTTTTGCCTTGGACTGACTTCTCATGAGAATTAATTATAGAATTATTGAAATCTATTTAAAAACTTGTAACGAACGAGTTCCATTAATAATTACAGAAGAGATGTACCAACTATTAGATTTATTTATTATTGAATTATTGAAATGTATTACAAAATCATGACAACTAGACGCCATTAATAACCACAAAGTTGATCAATAAATAAGAAATCTACTTATCAGTGAATGTAGAGTCTGCTACGAAACCATAACTGACAATGAGAGTGATTCAACGACTTTCACAGAAGTACGTTAGTTTTGTCAACCTTTTAGGAGATATACACACATTTAATTTCAACCCTGATATATCGAGACCTGTTCCAATACCACCTACCGAAAATTGCCACGAACATTTTGGATAACACAATAGAATCACTGAAAACTGCCACAAAATCGTAACAATTGCATCGTACCGATCATGCCAGAGGCTATCCGCTCAGTTCCATCGGCACTCTGGTTCAAAGGAATATTTACAACGCAATTTCAGCTTCGCGAACGCAATGAAACAGGAAACAGCGGAAATCGAATCGACACACCGTGTTTCCTGGACGCTGCACCATATTCCGACTATATTCCATTATATGGCGGCTCTATGAAGTGGCATGTTGCTGGTCCTTAACGTACCCAACTATTTCTCGACAACGTCATGGCCGCGCCACGGGCACCATTGTTTCCTGGCATAATAGAGCGTCCTCTAGAGCCGGTGTGCATCCCGCACGTATCTTGCAGCCTCGGTAATGAGTCCACGCGAGAGTCCACGCTGCTCCCGACACCGACAATCCCGTACCTCCTCGCAGAGGACTCTTCCAGATCCTTATCACGGCGTGTCTGACATTTGACATGCGGCGTGTCGCCTTTCCGACCCTTCTCCTGCGCAGCCGCGTTTCCGCGACATTTTTTTCCTACCAGCTCGCAACAGGAGTGCATACCGCCGCAAAAGCAGAGGTGGACGAAATTTTTATCTAGATACAAGGGAAAGATACCAGAGAGTTTCTACCTAGAAAGGGAAACAACTGGTCATCTGTTGGACTTTGAATGGAAATTCATATTTGAGTTGCTAGAGAGAAACATTTATACAGGGAGGGAATTCAAATTTAAGTGAATTATTGAGAACATGTCGTAAGTAAATCTTTCTAAAAGATATTTTAGCAGAAGTTGTAGGACTTTGTTTTTGAATTAAACACTAATGATATGGAATGTGTATGATTCTTTTTTTGAAGGGGGTATTCTAATTTAGAATTTTTAAATAATTTATTTTTTGGCGCGTTTACTTCAAAATGACTTTAATAAATGAATCTGTTAAAGAATTTTGTTGAATTCGGAAAACTAAAGATTTGTCCATATTTCCAGTTACCATAAATGGATAAATTTTCACAGTCTACTCATACCTCAAGAATGAAATTGTTAACTCAAGGAATAACTGCGACCAGCTTAGAATTTTCTGTTATCGAGTAACAGTACCTAAGTAGTACCGACACGAAATATAATATAATATGAAATATAGTAAATATAATATATATAATTCATACTTTAAATGAAAATTGCGGTAATTCGTGATAGTTTATTCGTGATATAGAAAGGTCATAAGTAGACTGCATATATGTTTATGCAAATTAGCATCTTTACAGATAGAGAAAAAAAAATTGAAATTGAAGTGAAAGTAGGTCTCATCCTTTAAACGGTGCAACATGTATGTTATTGTCGATGTATTAAATATTTTTGTATTTATGCACGTTCTTATTTGCCATAAATGCATAACCATCCGCAGTCTAATCGTAAGTATTTTAATAGAACTGGAGTTTGTAACATTTTTGCATATATCTACTTAACCACACTCGTGTAAACAATGGCAGCAGTGTAAATCTCGTAATGATAAAAAACGTATAATGTTGTTGAAAGTGTGAAGTTAATCAAGTTACACGGTACTGTCGACGGATAAAAAAAATGAATTTATAGAACTCGCGAGGTTTCATAAATGATCTCGCTCGACGTGTATAGATTCTCA